AGGAAGGAAGGAAGGAAGGAAGGAAGGAAGGAAGGAAGGAAGGAAGGAAGGAAGGAAGGAGAAGGACAATGACTGTGAGGTCCTTGGCGTTCTCTAAGCTTGGTGGTTTTCTTGCAGATATTTCATGGCCCAGCTAGGTAACACTATCAGCGCTAGGAGGGAGTGGGGTTAGGAGGAGCAGAAGGGAAGCATAAGAAGGCGGAAAGCAGCCACAGGAGGAGCAGGAGGGGGAGGACTGTGGGGTCCTTGGTGCTCTCTGAGCCTGGTTATTTTCTTGGAGACGTTTCATGGCCCAACAAGGCAACATAATCAGGGCTAGAAAAGTGTGGGGTTTACAGAGGAGGAGGAGGAGGAGGAGGAGGAGGCCAGCCATCTTCCTCCCTTCCCAGGATTCGAGCCACACACACACACACACACACACACACACACTGTTCTCTGCCCCCACTGACCCTTCTCCTTCTCTCCTCCCCGCCCGCCAGTCATGCCATCCAGCCCACCCCTGGGGGCTTCCTCCACTCCGGCCGGCGTCTTCTCCTTCTCCCCGGTCAACATGATCTCTGCCGTCAAGCAGAAAAGCGCCTTTGCCCCGGTTGTGCGACCCCAGGCCTCCCCACCTCCCAACTGCACCAGCACCAACGGGGCCGGCCTGCAAGGTAAGGGGGGACTTTGTCTTCAAACCAGGCTTACCCTCCTGCGGACCGTCGCGAGCTCACCTTCCCCCACCCCCACCCCGTGTAGAAGTAGTCCTCGACTTACGATGGTTCATTTGAAGCTACAACGGCACTGGGGAAAAAAGAGGGGGTGGGAGGCTTATCGCCGTTTTCCACATTTTTTTATGACTGCTGTGGCATCCCCGTGGTCATAATTCAGACGCTCGTCAACCGACTCGTATTTATGACGGTTACAGGGGGTCCCTGGGGGGGGGGGTCGGTCGCGCGATCCCCTTTGGCGACCTTCCGACAAGCCAAGTCAAGTGGGGAAGCCAGATTCATTTAACAGCCGGGTGTCTGACTTCACAACTGTGGTGATTCGCTTCACAACTGTGGAAGAAAGAGCAAAACGAGGCAAAAGCTCACTTAAGGAACGTCTCACTTAATAACAGAAACTTGGGACTCCGTGGCGGTCGTAAGTCGAGGACTACCTGCATAATCTAGGACAGGGATCTCCGACCTTGGCCCCTTTAAGACTTGTGGACTTCAACTCCCAGAATTCCTCAGCCAAATTCGGAGAGTTGAAGTCCACAAGCCTTAAAGCGGCCGAGGTTGGCTGGGGAATTCTGGGAGTTGAAGTCCACACCTCTTCAAGTGGCCGAGGTGGAAAAACACTGATAGGATCTACCCTTGGCATGTTGTGAACCAGAAACATCTTTTTAGGGGATTTAAAATACTAAAAATTAAGGAGAGGAAGGAAGGAGAAAAATTAAAAATTAAGAAATATTAGACGTCTAAGCAGAGAGCATTTCCGTGGAAGAGAGTAGAATGTCCTTGGAGGCATTTTCTACCGTCCCCAAAGTGGTTTGCGGGACCTAAATCCACTTTCGGGGAGAAACAGGCCCTGTTTTAACCCCAATGACTTGCTAGGCTGACGGAATTTAAATGTTCTTTCCCATCCCCTAAAGCTAAAATTCTTCTTGTTTTTTAAACAAAGAGCTTTCAGCCAAGCGGGCCTCAATGAGGACTAGTCTAAGGTCTGGGCTGATTGGTAACAGAGATTCGAATTTCCCCCAAACCCTCAGTGGACAATGCTGTTTCCAACTCAACAAAGTCCCCGGAAAGAGCTACCAGACGAGGCAGCTTCTTCCCAGGGATTTCCTTGTGGTGCTTTTTCCCTTCTCCTCCTTACTCCCCTTCCTTATGGACACCCTGGAAGGGTGCACCCCCTAAACCTCTCCTATTCAGAAAGGAAATGGGAAATCTGGATTATTCCATAGGTGTCAAAAGCTCCTGGGGCCTCTTTGGTCGCTACTTGTCTAAAACCAGGATGAGAGGAATCGGGGAATCTTAGATCTCTTGTCTTCATAGATTCTCAAGTGTATCTTTACTGCAGTTTTTGTGCTTCGCTAACTGTCTTTTTATTTTTATTTCTTGGCCTTCCTCTTTTCTTGCTTTTTCCTTCCTTTTTTCCTTCCTTCTTCTCTTCCTTCCCTCCATCCCTCCTTCTCTCTGTTCCATTTCTCATCCTTCTTTTTTCTCTTTTCCCCTCCCTTCTTCCTCCCTCCCTCCCTCTCTTTCCCCTCCCTCCCTCCCTCCCTCCCTTTTTTCTTTCTCCTTCCTTCCTCTCCTCCCTCCCTCCCTCCTTCTTTGTTTCATCTCTCATTCTACCTTCCTTTTTTTCTTTCCCCTTCTTTTCTTCCATCTTTCCTCCCTTCTTCCCTTTTCCCCTCCCTTTCTTCCTGCTCCTCCCTCTTTCCATTTCACCCTTCCTCCCTCTCTCCTTTCCTTTTTCTCTTTTCCTCCCTCCCTCCTCCACTTCTTCCTCCTTCCCTCTTTCCTCCCTCCTCTCTCTGTTTCATCGGTCTCATCCTTCTTTCCTTCTTTCCTTCTTTTTTCTCTCTTCCCTTCCTCCCTCCCTCCCTCCTTCCCTCGCTGCTTGCTCGATCCCACCAACCAGACCAACCCTTTGAGGATTCTGCAGACAAGTTTCAAACAGCGTCTCGGTCACTCCAAGGATTGGCTTACTCTTAATCACAGTATGTTCCTTCTCTCCTTCCGCTGCTTTGCCTTCTCCTCTCTCTCTCTCTCTCTCTCTTTCTCTCTCTCCGCTGCTCCTCCCACTTTGACTAATTCCTCTGCAACAGCCTCGTAAGCACCTACATTGTCCACCAGAATCAGGACAGATGAGGGTAGATATTTAGGAGGATGTAAATATGTATGTACAGGTATGAACGAACATTTAACTGGGATGGCATGAGGCTCCTGCCTTGAGCGAAGGGCTTGACTAGAAGACCTCTGAGGCCCCTTTCATCCCTATGTTTCTAAGACTTAGTTTGATCTTGCCAAAGGCACACAAAGACAGCCAGGAATGACTGCAGGATGTAGTCCAAAATGAGAAATTAATGGCCTCAAGAAAGCGATCCAATCTCCTCCTCCTAATTTTTTTATGGCCCATGGGGTTGCGGCCCGCCGGCAGCTGACAGAGCTGGTAGCAGAGTCGAACAGTAGCGAGGAGGTTGGGGAGGAACCTGGGTCAGTTTTGGAGGCTGGGGAGGGCTCGGACGAGGGCTCTGCGTCAGAGGCAGAGATGGGACCAGGCCAGGCTGGCAGTCATCAGCTGCCTTCGGGCTCAGACAGCAGTGAGGCGTGGGAGCTTCTGGAACCGGTTCCCAGCCTGCGCGTGCTCAGGGCTACCAGAAGGCAAGAACAATTGAGAAAGCATGTTCAACTCAGGAGTAAGGCCACACCTCGGAGATGATTGGCCCCTCCCATAGGACATAAAAGAGGAGCGAAAGGGACGTGAGCCTTTGCAGGAAGCAATTAGTTCGTCTGGTCAATTCGAATTCTGTTTGACTCTGTGTCAAGTCTGGCCTTGCCCTGCGCTTGGCAATTCGTTCTCGGGCAGCATTCCAAGTGTGATAAGGTGAGCATTTATCAACATTCCCCTGAAAGGTTGTTTGAGAAGCCTTGCAGGCTGTGAATGAATGTAATTCACAGCCGGGGAAATAAAAGAGGTTTTGCCAGGACTGTGTTTTGTACTTTCTAAGGAAGCTTAGGTCAGAATACATGCCTAGAAGGCAGTGCTTTTATAATAATGGAACGGAATAACAAAGACTACACTGAGCCAGACAGAACAGAGATTAGTTTTATCAAAGATGCTTTTTCAAAAAGGCAACGCTGATTTTTTTGTTTTTCCCTTGAGGCAAGAAGAAAAATGTTTCACTTCTCATCCAAGAAGCTTCATCAGTTCTTGGATGAGATGAGAATGGAAATGTCTCCTTCTTCTTCCTCAAGGAAAATAATAATAATCCAGTTGCCTTTTGAAAAAGCACCTTTGGGACAACCATGGTTTGGATGACGGAGAATTTTCCACAAACAAAGAGGGAACAGAACAAAATGGAATAAAATATTTAATTTGGCCGTGTGGTTAGACACACAAGGCATTTGACTCCGACACACAAGCACTCCATGTACTTGCAAAACAACAGAAAAATAATAATAATATTACAAAATACACTGTGGCTCTGCAGCTTCTCAGTCAGCCAGCGACCTCCCCAGGCCTGCCAGTTGGCCCCATAGAAGCGTTCGCATTGTCTTCTTTCTAGCAATTGGGGCAAAGATGCAGCCCTAATGTGGAAGTCCTCTGTGACTTTCGGGGAGGGTGTGCAACATAGGAAACCAGCCTGCCATGTTGTGGGACATCACCCTTTGAGGATATTGTGCCAAAAGTGATCTCCGCAAACCTCGGCGGTCTGTCCTAGGCCTCCCCCAAAAAACACTAGGTCAATTCTGAGTCCCGGCAAAAACCTCTTTTATTACATTAATGTGAATTTATTTCATTCACAGTCAGCCAACGGCTTGGCAAACAGTCTCGCGAAGGTATGCTAATTAGCTTAGACCTTTATCAATCCTGGAACGCTGCCCGGTAAATAGTTCCACACTCAGTGCTGACAGGGAAGGGCTGGGTTATACAGACAAATCTTCACGAGGCTGGAACGAACGAATGAGCGAGTTGTTTCCTGCAAAAAAGCCCCCTCCCCTTTCGCTTCTCTTTTAATCCTGATGGGAGGGTCTTTCATCGTCCACCTGTGGCCTTACTCCCACGACAAAGCCGAGTTCTTAATTTTGCCTTCTTTTTGGCAACTCTGGGAACCGGTTCCAGAAGCTCCCACGCCTCACTGCTGTCTGAGCCCGAAGGCAGCTGATGACTGCCGGCCTGCCCTGGTCCCATCTCTGCCTCTGACACAGAGCCCTTGCCCGAGCCTTCCTCAACCTCCAGAAATGGCCCAGGTTCCTCCCCAACCTCCTCACTACTGTCCGACTCTGCTGCCAGCTCTGCCAGCCGCTGGCAGGCCACAACACTAGGTTCAATCGAGGTTAAAGAGAACCTGCAGATGTCTGTGAAGACTCTCAAATCCTTCAGGTCCTAGTTGACCCAAAGATGTTTTTTTTCCCAAAGGAAACTAGGCCTTCTTTGGGGTGAGGGGTGAATGTTCCTTGAAGATCTTTTG